AAGAAAACAAAAAAAAGAAACAATTTCAACGATTGACATAGAAGAAAAACTGTTAGCACAATTTCTATGGGTATGATAAAACTATGATAGCTTTCGATTTTCCTTAATCGGTGATGTCATTTGTCGAAATTCTTCGAGTTCGATTTTTCTCGTTCGAGAAAGGCTTATTCATGTTTAATAAAATGTAGCAATTTTCTTGAAATAGGCCTTCTCTGATCGAAATCAACCTAAGATCAGCTTAGTTATACTATACATTTTCACAGTCTTCGTCGTTATTTTATATAGACCGATGTATCTTTACTATAGTTGCTATTGCTAATTATAGTGAGATTTTTTTCTTCTATCTATTTTAGGACAGATTTTTTTCATCATTCTTTTAATTAATCCTCTAGAACAGCAAGACGTTATTGGTATACACTCTTTGGTCAAATACCAATAATCATTTTAGAATGTGTTTCACAAAATAAAGTAATATATAATGATTACTTGTAATCGACGTGTATTACGTAATGCTTCTTCTTTTTGTTTATTAGCTTCATCAATTTGTATACGTGAATCTTGAAGATCAATTTCAATTTTTTTACGTTGTTGAAGGATTTGTTGTTTAGATTTTCTTTCTTCATCAAGTTCTAATTCATATTCTTTTAATTGTTTATTTAATGAACGTATACGATCTTCAATTTGTTCATTATTTTCATGTGCATGTTTTTCCATTTGTTGTTTAAGTGCACCAATATTAACTTCACAACGTAAACGTGCATCTTCAGCTGTTTGTAATTCATCTTCAAGTTCAATTATTTGTTGTTTTTGTTCGTCAACAGTTGATTCTGAAAAGAAAAATAATTATAGTATTCTTGATTTTTTTTTTTTGTCATACGAATGTTAATGAGATTCAAGAAGAAGCAGAACACCGAATAGAATTATGAAAAAAATTTTTTTCGAATTAATGCTAAACATTGTAATTAAATGTTCTTTCCTCAACTAAATAAATCAAAAGCCGGGTATTTAAGAATTTCTTAGACGTGATATGAATCAATGCTAAATTCACTCCCTTTCGAAACCAAATAGAAGGTCACGAGCTTTCCAAAAATCTTTTTCAAAAGTCCAGCGGGCTTATGCACTTAAAAAAGCCCGGTTTTGAAAAAACTCTTGTTGTTCTGGGCTAGAAACTAGCTCGGAATATAAGGACACCTTTGCAAGAACGACATAAGTCTTCATTATAGAAGACCATAGTTTTTTATTCCGAAGCCAGCTGCAGGGCTGTAAGTTTTCTATTGCCAGAGACTAAAAAAAACCTTGGTCTCCTACATCTTGGATTGCAATATAGTAATTATTAGGAGAATTATTTCGAGCCAAAGTTTTTAACAGAATATAGAAACCACACAATTATTACAATTGATACTAAGGTACTTATGTGAAGTAAAATATTTGAAAAAGGAAAGCTCTACCCATAACGTAAATAGTGTCTGTTAAGGCTTCCTCCTCAAAAAAAAGCCAATTTTCACCAGAAAGATGCATAGGAAGATAGTCCGAGATCTGATCTTTCATAGGTGAACATTTGGCTAAAAATGAAAATCGTGCTTTTTCAAGATTTGGTTACAGAAAAATATACTTCGGTATATAGTCTATCTAATGGTATAAATAACGAGATTTTTTCCATTAATACACGGCACTCTTCACGTACATGAACAAGTGAAGGATCAATGTTTCAGCTATTTATTCGCTATTCTCAGAAAAAAAACTCAACGCACAGTTATATCTTGTTGCTGTATTTCTCATCTGGAGAGGAGCGGGGTCCACAAAAACATGTAACCGAACCCGACAAAAAAAAACATAAAATTATGGATCCGATCGGATCCGGGTCTGGAAGGACCTGCATCTAACCTTCAAACTTTGCTATAATATTCTTCTATCTACTATCTCTAATCCCTGTTAGCGCAAATCTTTGTAGGCAGTGCGATAGGTTTTTCATGTATAGTACTTATATTCGGAATCAGCACATTAAACTGAACAAAAAAGAGAAATATTTTTTTTGTTCTTACCAAGTGCTCTTTTAATTCTTTCTAATTCATGAATATTTTTTCCAATATCATCTTTTGTTGAAAGCATATCATCAAGTTCAGCACGTAATTGTCTAAAACGTTTTTCTAAATCATCATATGCTAAATTTCTTTCTTCTAAATCTCTTAATAAATTTAAACGTTGTGTTTCTTTTTCACGTATTTCACGTTCATTTTGATCACGTTCTTGTCTTAATTTATCTTGTAAAATTTTTTCATCTTGTATACGTTTATCAAATGAACGTTGTTGTTTTTCAACATTTTGTACAATTGTACGATAACGTTCTAATTCAACAGTTATATCAGCAATATCATTAGTAAATTTTTGATTTGATTTTGTTAATTTTGTATTTAATAATTTTTCATCATCAAATTGTTTTAATATTGTTTCTTTGTCACGTTGTAATTGTCGACGTAATTCTTCCATTTGTTCAACATTAACTTGTTCAGCTTGTCGACGTAATTCTGTATTTTGTTGTGTTAATTGTAAAACTTTACTTTCCATTTTATGACGTTCTTCTTCTTTATCATCTAATTGATCTTTAAATTCACTAATTAAATCTTCTGTTTGACGAAGTTTTGCTAATGTATTCATTTTTTGACGATTTTCTTCTTGAAGATTTTCTTGTAATTCTTGTATATCTTGTCTTGACATTGTTATTGTACGTTCATAATTTTGTGCACGTTGTTCAATTTCAATAAATGCTGCATTTATTGATTCAATATCTTGTTGATAACGTTGTAATTTATCAAAATTTTCATTTTTTAAACGTTCACTTTCATTATATTTATGTTGAAGTTCTTGTACATATGTTTCTAATTGTCGACGTTTACGTTCAATATCTTGTTTTTGTATATTTAAATTTTTTATTTCATTATCACGATCAGTTATATCGGATTGTTGTTGTTGACGATCTTTAACTAATGTTTGAAATTGTTTTTTAGTATTTTCAAATTGACTTGTTAAATCTTCAATTTGTTTTGTATATTTTAAACGTAATTCACCTATAATTGATTCACGTTCTTCATGTACTTGTTCTAATGTACGTTTTAATGTTAAAACTTCTTCGTCACGTTTTTTTTCACGTTCAAGCATAACTTGATTTATATCTTTACGATCAAGTAATTCATTACGTAATGATTCATTTTCTTCCATTAATTCACGTTTTTCACGTTCTAAACGTTTACGTGATTCTTTTTCACTTTCCATATCATCTTGTAAATCTTGTATACTTGTTTGAAATTCACGTATTTGACGTTGAAATGTTACTTTTGTTGCTGCTTCTGTTTCAATATTTGTTACAGCTTGTGTTAATTCTTCTTCACGTCGTGCTAAATGTACTTGTAAATCATGTATTTGTTGCATACGATCTTGTAATTGTTCACGAAGTTCTTGAACTTCACCTTCAAGACGACGTATTTCACGTTCTAATTTTTGACGAAGCTAAAAAGAAAAAACAAAACTTGATTAATTTTTACTGAAAGCTTTTAATAAAATCAAGATAAAAAGTTGCGACTTTCATCATTCAAAATAGAGTCTATTACTACAAAGTTCTATGTATTATTCAATCATACAGATTGTTGACCTAATAATCTGTTAGGAAGATTTACATAACTCTATGAAAAGGACATAGAAGTTCGATTCGTGTACTCACGATTTACACTAAGATCAATAATCGAACCTATTATCTTCTTTCGATAGAGAGTTTTAGGTGCAACATTAGATAGCGAATCCTTTAGAATTGAACTTCAATGTAATTTTCATAGAGTAATCAGTATTTTATCGATGACTGATTATCATGGCAACAAGTAGCACTGTTGAATAGTACGTGGAACTACGTAGTAACAGAGCCTCTTTTGAATGATGAAAGCTGCAGCTTTTTATCTTGATTCTAGCACAAGTTATTCGAAATTAAAGAAATACACTTATAGATAATATTTAAGATAAAAATTTTGCAAAACTATCGTAACTTTTATAGAAAAGGCTTATACTGTCGAATATTTTTGAGATTATTCTAGTCTAGAGATGTTATCTGTATGTTGAAAATATGAGCTTATAATAACCGGAGAATTAGTTCGGATAGTTTCTTTGACGATATATAATATTCTACTGATCATTTCTTTCCGATATCATAGAGATCCTGATAGATTAATCTTGTTCAGTAAATACTTTAGTATTAGAAATTTGCAAATCTACATTGTTTTTGGCTTCGAATTCAAAATTCTCTTCATATAATTTTACGCTTAAGAGATAACAGATAGTAGAAGCTGAGAAGAGAGTGTAAAAATCCAATAGTTTTTAACTTAATGCGGTGGTTCTATCTAACATCAAGAAAACTGATTTTTGTCTTAAAAATTTGCATATAGACATTCTTCAAATTTCAGATCTTTTCGTTGTTCCTATTCTAAGATAAGATTATGTATCTTTTATACATCGACAGATTTGATATATTTACTTTAGGATAGGAACAAATCAAAAGGCCTAAAACTTTCGCAATAAACGATTTCCATTAAAGCCGATCTCTATGTGCAAAGTTTCGAATTAAAATTCGAAAAGTAATTTTTTCTATTGTTCCCGAGGGAGTCTACTACAGGATGCATATAGTCCGAACTACAGATATGTGGGATCAAAGTTTGAAGATTTGTCAAGACCAAAACTAAACATTATAGTTAAATATTCTATGGTTTTCAAGTAAATTATCTTATAAATTAGAACATATTTTTAGACATGATGCGATTAAATTCTGAAATAGTTTTCTGTAGATTGGGCCTAAAACCCATCGGGTTGGATCGGACGGGCTCAAAAAAACTTAGTCTCGATTCAAAAAACTTAATTAATCAATTTCAAGAGCTACGAAAAACAAAAATTCGATTAATGAATATCCTATGGTTAACTCCTTATTCTAGTTTTATAGTATTGGCTAAATAAAATCGAATGAAAAAAGAAAAAATATTTTACTTCAATTTCACGTTTTAATCGTTCTTCAAGATCAGCACATTGACTTTCTTGTTTAGTTTTAATTCGAAGAAGATTTTTTAATTTTTCTCCTTCATCTTGTTGTTGATGAACAACTTCTTGAAGTTTATCATCAAGAAATTTACGTTCTTTTTGTAACTAAAATAAAATTAATGAAAATATTTTATATATATATATTATTAATTACTTTATTAAGTTCATTTTGTTGACTAGCAACAATATCTTCAAAATTTTTTATTTTCCCTTCAAATTGTACACGTTCAATTTGTAATTTTTGTCGACCATGTTCTTCTTCTTCAAGTCTTTTTAAAAAAAAAAACATTTTTAATTTATTTTTTCGAAGAAAAACAAAAACTTACTGTTCAGTTATATCTTGTAATTTTTGTTCTAATTGTTTTCTTTCATTTGTCCATCCATTACTTCGTTCCATTTCTTCTTCTAAACGTTGTTCTATTTCTTGTACCATATTTTCAAGTTCCATTTTACGTGTTTGTACTCGTCGTAAATTCTATTTAGATAAAAATTTCAAATTAAATCATCGATAAATATTTTACTTACTTCATCTGATTCAACTAAAGCTTCAGTTAAATGTATAAGACGTTCATTAATAACAGTTCGTTCTTGTTGTATCATTTGTAATTGTTGTTCCGTTTCTTGTACTTGTAATGTACGTGATTCCATTTCAGTTTTCATTCGACGTATTTCTTCTTGTTTTTGTGTTAATTCTTCATCTTGTCTTGTAACTTGTAATAATGGTTTTATTTTTGTAAATAAACGCCACCATTTCCAATTACGAATTTTCATTAATGCACGACCATTACGTTGAATAACACGAATAGCATTTAATTGTTGAATACGTCGTTGATAATTTCTTCAAGGAAAAAAAATTTTTTTTTTTTTTTGTCTTAAAGAGAATCAAAACAATTTACTTTCGAGCAAGTACACCACGACATAATGCTTGAAGTTGTGTTATTATATCAGTTAATTTAAGATCACGTTCTTCTTCTAAATGACCAAGTACACCTGAACGAAAGAAGATTTTTGTAAGACCAATTCGATAAAGATTATCATCAAGTTCAAGTTCTTTGATCTAATATATATGAAAAATAATTTATTATTATTATTTTTTTTTATATATAAGATTTACCATTTTTTGTGATGCAGCTTTACCATCCATAAATCCTTTTGGAATAACATTTGGACAAAGAAGTTCATAACTAGAAAAAAGAAATTGAAAAATATTATTTGAACTATCACTGTTAATGTAATGAGAAACTTAACAATTTTCGACAAAGTGATATAAGAATTAGAAATTTCAGAAATGTATCTTAGCAAAATATTCACTGTTACTAATCTTTAGTATATTATGTTATAGAGAAATTTTTGTTCTTTCATTCGTTGTATTTAAAATGATTTTCGCTTCTACTTTGGGTAAACTCGAGCGTGACAAACTTGATTTACGAATGTCGAAAAAGTCGATTTATAATTCTTAAACGAGAAGTCCTATAGAAAAAAAAAATCTTGAAACTATTTTTGGAAAGAACACAAAATGATGATTCCCATTCGGCAAGCTCATCAGTGTTGCAATCGGTACCGGAAAACGGTCGGTCCGATCTAGAAATTGTTTTGCGAAAATAGAGTATATAAATGTTTAGTTTTGCATGTTAAACAAGTTTTACTAATGTTCATGAAAATACACCTTATATATAATTATTCAGCCAGTTCGTTATCAGATTCTATGATAGAAAACAAATGGAACCATCATTTTTCATTGTAATTTATGATATATTTATTTCTATTTTACATGATTTATATCGTAAAAAGCTCTATGTATGTTTCTATTCTACTATGATCGTGTAACAAGATTATAATACTTTGTATCTATTTTATTTCAGACTATATGATATTAAACTTCAAAAATTTAATAACTCCTGAGTGTTTAAATAATAGAATGGGGCAAAATGAAGCATTGTGTCTTTATTACCAGATAGATTTTAATACTAGACTCTATAGTTAAGAATTTACAAAAAAATAACTTTGACTTAGCCTTTAAGTAAGCTGAAGTGTGGAATTTTTGCTATTCCTTTTTAGTCAAATTTATTATATATACTCAGAACGAAAGTCAACATGTCACAAAAAAGTGCTAAGCCGTTTTGGACATCGAAATCCTTGTCGGTACAGACTAAAAGAATATAAAGAGATAGGTTTTCTACAATTTCCGAAGCCAGCTAAAAAGATAGAATCAAATTTCTTGCCACATTCTTCACTGTGTATTGATAATCATGTTTCACAAATGAAATAGAAGTCTTAAAAGTATACTTCATATAAGATAAGAAAAGTCAACGATGACTCATGCCAATCTAAAAAACTCTATGAACGTACGTTTTGTCAAATTATTTTTCGACAATCTCTTATTAGTACTTTGGAAAACAAGCCGTAGCCTTTTACATTTTCTGAGAAATAAAAATGGTGGAAAAAACAGAATTTTTGCTAAGAAAAAAGTTTTATCTGTTTATGGAAAATCATTATTGTCACTTCTCTTCAAATATTAAATATTTCGATGAAAACAAAAAAAAAAAGAAACTATCAATTTAAATTTACCGTTGACGAAATTCTTGAAATAAAATTCGATTAGGAAAACCATTTCGACAAATACGAATTCCTTCAAGTACACCATTACATCTTAATTGTTCAAGTACAAGTGGTGAATGAATAACACCAGCCTAAAATAATAAATCTTTCATTTTTTTTTGTTTTTTTTTGAGAAAACATAATTAGTTGATTCAATTTAAAAGGATTAAAATTTCATTTTTGTTTTTACATTTGAATTTTGTTGAGATTATAATACACATGAAAAAAAGATTTTAATTATTAATTATTATTTATCTAACCTTTTTATGATGATTTGGTAAAATACATCGAACAAAATTTGGATTTGTATTTTTTAATGTACCCATTAATTTTGTTAATTGTTCTTTATAAAGTTGACCAACTGTTCTAAACATTCCTTTTTTAATATTAGCTTTTAAATTTGATGTTGCATCATTCGGATCTGCTGCTGATAAACCAACAATTTCAGCTAAAATAAAATATTAATTAATTAATATATTATACAAAAATAAAATCTAATTAAACACTGCACTTCAAAAAAAAAAACAACAACATTCTCATGCTTAAAACTCACTATAATCAGGTATGAGAGTTATATTTGGAAGAATAAGACATGGTCTCATTCCCCAAATTGTTGCTGAATATTAAAATTTTTTATTTTTTTTTTCGATGAAAAAAAACTAATCCAATAATCTTACCATCTTTCCATATTTCACGTGTAAATGGATCATTTGCTGTTTGTAAAAGTGCAACAACATTATCATTTAATGGATCCATATTTTTCATCAACCATTGTTCAGCTGAATATTCAACTTTACCAGCATAATGAATTATACTAAAATCAGCTGGTGCTTTATAATTTGGTTTTCCTAAAAAAAAACAGAAAAAAGAAAAATTTTTCAAAAACAAACATTAAATTTTTTTTTTTGTTTTACCAAATTTTGGATGTTGAGCATGTGCATTTATTAATTTATCCACATATGTTCGATCGGTTGCTTTTGGAAACCAACATTCTTCATCTAATAAACTTAAAATACCCATTTGCTAGAAATATAAATAAAAAAAAATTAATCGTTTTTTTTGTTTTCTTATATTGATTTACTTTTTCAATAAGATCAATTGTTGGTTGAAGATCAAGACCAAAATCCATAAATTCCCAATCAATATTTTCTCGACGATATTCTTCTTGTTCAAGAACAAACATTGTATGATTAAATAATTGTTGAAGTTTTTCATTTGTATAATTTATACATAATTGTTCAAATGAATTTAATTGAAATATTTCAAAACCAGCTATATCAAGTATACCAATAAATGATGAACCTTGTCGTTTACTTCGATCAAGAGATTTATTAATACGTGTTACAATCCATTTAAACATACGTTCATAAACTGCTTTTGATATAGCTTCAACAGCATAATCAACCTAAATAAATATTATATATAGAATAAATATTGTTTGTCTCGGATTTTGTTTTATCTCTCTCTCTCTTTCGAAATTTCAGTGAAGGTAAATTAGCTTTTAATTAAATCAAAGGAAACTTTTCTGAAGTTATAAACAGATAGAAAATATTTCGAATAAGGAAATAGGTGTTCGATTTTCCTCAAAAATCTCGCTTTCTTTTTAAGTTTCAGAGAGATATGTGAAGGTACGAACTCAGAACCGGATTCTTAGCGTTAAAAAACCCTATAAATCAGAGATAGAACCGATACCGATCGTCAAAAATTCAGATCGGTTTCATCTCTGTTATAAATTCAAACAGGAAGGTCCATAATGAAAAGATTTCGAACTATCTGTGGTAAAAATTTTAGACGGTTGAGAGAAAAATAGAAATGACCAAAACACAGGGAAGTACTCTTAAGGAAACTCCCGACTTTTTCATTTTTAATATATAGATCAAAATGTCCTCTATCTAATAAGCACATTTTAAGAAGATAAAACCATCCTTTTGTATATAAAAAACTTCAATTTTATGCCAAAAAGGAAAAAGTGACACGTATTCAGATTTATTCCTAGTTGCTACAGAAAAAACATAGTATGGATATTTTCGGTAGAGAAAATTTCAATTTTTAGTCTTTGATCTCACGAAAGGAAGCATTTAGAGTATATGACAATTTTTATTCCACTCATCGACATCTATCTACCATGAAAATTTCAAAAAATTTTTGCCAAGTCGTTCTCGAGAAACCTCTTTCGTTATCTATTGCATAGATGCTAGAGTGATTTTCCTATTTTGATTATTTGACATAATTGATTCTTGACATTTGTAAAAAAAACAAAAAAAATCATGTTTTCTTTCTGAAGTGTAATGAATGAATAAAAGATTAGCCGACATATAAGAAAGAATATCCATGCCCTTCAGCTATCTTATGATATGGGGTGCTGTCAAGCAATGATATCTTCCTTACAAATAATACCAGCTAAGTCTGCCTGAAGCAGAATTCTTGAATTAACTAACCACAAGGATACTTGTATATCACAATGTACTCGTTATACTATCAGACAAATGATCTAAGACAAACTTTCATGGCTGATTGTGTCGAAATTTGAATACAATATCTTACGGATATATGTCGAATAATGTGTACGCACTCAGGCATGACTGTCCTAACCAATAATGAGTTCTTTTTTTTTTTTGAAATCATATTTACTATATGAAGAATTGAAACTTACTTGAGCTTGTGTTTGTGCTTTTGTAACAAAATCTCTTCCAACTTTAAGTTTTGGTTTTAAAAATGAACGTACAAAATCTGTTACAGGTATACCCAATAGATGACAAACTTTTTGTGCAACTGTATCATCAGGTAATGTTGCTTGATCACTATTACGTTCTTGTTTAAATTGCATATTACCCATTTGTAAAACAGCTGATATTGTACGAAATATTGAATTTAAATCATCACTTGACATATTCATTATTTGCATAGCTTTAACTGTATTTTGAAATTCTTCACTATCATCAACACCTAGTATTGCTACATTACCATGTGTTAAATAACGATAACGACTAAAATCTTCTAATAAATAATCTGTAATCATTTTTGTATTAGCACCACGTAATAATTGATAAAATATATGAAATGTTCGTTCTTCTTTAGCTTGACGTATAGTACGAGATTTTTCAAGTAAATATGTTTCAATTGATGCACCAGCAATAAAACCCGATGTATCAAAATTAATACGAATAAATTTACCAAATCGTGATGAATTATCATTTTTAACTGTTTTTGCATTACCAAATGCTTTAAAAATAAAAGTTTATTTTCTTCTAGGAAAATTTTTTTTGTTTTTATATTCTTATTGTTACCTTCAAGAATTGGATTTGCTTGAAGAAGTTGTGATTCAAGTTCACCCTTACAAAATAAAATTTTTGAAAAAAAAACAATTCATTCAAAATTTTTTTTTTTTTTGAATTTCTTACGGACGCATCGCTCATTTTATTTGCATTCATTTGTTGCTAAAAATAAAAAAAAAAAAATTATCAAATGCTTTTTTTTTTGTTTGTTTGTTTTCTTCTCTACTTGATATTGAGTAATTGTAGTTGCCGGTTGACGTTGTGAACTTTTCGGTGCAGCAGCAATATAAGCCAAATATTGAATAACTTTTTTTGTATTTTCAGTTTTACCAGCGCCAGATTCACCTCTATGAGAGAAAGAAGATTTAAAACCTTTTTTTTTCTAACAAAAAAAAAAAAAAAAACTTACGTGCATAATATTGATTGATCTTCACGATTTTGTAACATTAAACGATATGCATCACCAGCTATTGCAAATATATGTGGTGGCATTTGTTCACGTTTTTTTCCTTTATACATTTCAATAACATTTTCAGAATAAATTGGTAAACGTTTATATGGATTAACAACAACACAAAATAAACCCGAATATGTATAAATCAAACCTGAATAATAACGTTCTTTAAGATTATATAATACCGATGCATCATTTAAACAAGTTAATTCTGACATATCTTCAATTTTACTAAATTTTGGTGGATTTACACGTTGTGTATCATCTTTATGTATTGTAACACGTTTACCATTTTCTAAATCAACTAATAATTGTCCATCCATTTGTTCTTGTCGTACTTGACCACGAATAAAACCTTCATGTTCATCAGGTACCCAAACAAATTTTTTTGCTGCCCATTCATTAGCTGTTGTTGCATCTGTAATACTATCTTTTGAAGTCATATCGGTTGAACGTAAATATTTCATTTCAGCTGGTTCATGACCATTATCCATTACACCACCTGATTTATTATTTGTTGGTGTAGGCATTTCTCTTTTTTTTTGTGTTTAAATCTAAAACAAGAAAAAAAGCCACTTATATATATATATATATATGTATTCTCATCGATTGGATGACTGAATGTATAGAGGCAAAAGAAAACAGTTCATTCGACAAGTCAGCGAGGTGCAATATTGTACGTGTGTATATGCTCGGTCGAGATGTGTTCAGCGAGAGGAGGGAAGGAAAAAAAAAAGAAATACGTTTCTTTGATTACATAATCTTTCGAGCTATTGCAGACATATATAACAATCATAAATAATTGAGACCTTGTGACATACACTCATCATTGTGATGACAGATCTTCAGAGTTATGAAATATGAAAAAAAAAAAAATCTTTCTACTTACTTATCTATACGAAAAATTAATATTATATGTGCTTCGAAACTGTAAACAAAAATCATTCATAACCCATAATATATAAGCTGACGAGAAATGATTCTATCTGTACTATGCAAAACAGGTAGAAAATGGCATGTTTTTTTATTTTATTTTAACATTATTATCATTCTTTTTTATGATTCATAGCGATGAAACAGAGAACGAGGCGGACGGAGGTGGAATGACGAATCATCACGAATAAAATGCATGTGTGACTATGCCTGTGTGTAGGACGATGGTAAAACCTTTTTATCAAAAATTTGCCATATATATTAAATAACAAAAAACTATCAGAACGATGTTTATAATTTATTAAAATAGTAACAATAGAGTCTCTGATATCTATTATCTATTATTTGACAAGCAAAACACATTCATACAAAATAGAAAAAAAAAAGGGATTTTTTTGCCTTATTGTTTTTTTTCTCTCCTTTCAAGAATGCTGCAAATACCACCAGTTAGTAATGCAAACAAATCGATTCATGTCGAAACAAAATACAGACAATAGAGAAAAAAAAATGTAAGCAGATGCCTTATACAAACTATCGAAAGATAATCCATCTGTATGTGTATGTTTGTGTGAAAGGGACTAAAGTACTCATGATTTATTCTTCTTTTTTTTTTTTTTTTTTTTTTTCTTCTTCATCGCGTTCATACACTTCTTTTCCCTTTAACAAATACATACACATTCGATTTTTTTTTTTTCGGTCAAGTCAAATAGAAAAGAATAAGTGGTTGTTTGAGCCGAAAATAACTAAATACGCATATGTACATGCTAGAGCTTTACTTTTGTCTTCTTCGTTCGTTTCGTTCTCTTCTTTTTTTTTTTTTTTACTATTTCTGTTTTACAACATAATATAAATACTTTGAATACCTTAAAAAAGAAAAAAACGTTTAAAAAAAGAGCATCAAATGTCAAAAAGAAATCATTTATCAATTCAAACTAAATGGAAGTTCGATTATCTCTCACCTGATGGTAAATATATAAAAGTTCGATTGATGAATAAAGTTAGATATCTGGAGTAACTAACACCAAAAAAATAAAATAAAATAAAACACAGAGAGAGAGAGAGAAAAAAAAAGATCTATGATCAAGTTAATAATATAGACACAAAACACTTCACGTCTCGCCTATGTTCCTCTTTTCTCCTACGCTTTTTCTTTTATTTCTCTTATTCGCACTCTGGACGTCGATGTCAGCGAGCTTCGCTTTGCTTTATAAGTGTTTCGAACGAACATAAATGTAAAGAAAAAAGATCGAAACATCGAAAATTTGATACATGCGCTCTCGCATACTTTATTGCCTATATTATATATGAGACTGATTACTCTCTCTATCTATTCTTAGGTCGTTCTATACATTCAATTGTTCTTAAATTAGAAAAGAAAGAAAGAATTTCGTAAAATAACAACAACAACAACAACTTTTTATCATTATTAAATAAATAAGAAAAACTATTAAAAACAAACAAATACTTGCTGATTTGTACACTAATACAGACGAACTTAAAAGAAAGGATTGAACTATAGTGAAAGAAGAAGACGAAAAAAAAATCTTCAAATAAAGAACGTCCAATCGAATCCGAATATTACCTTTAGAAAAAAAGCGACATCAATTTTTTTCAATTTCGTTTTCTTAAGACCATGAGAATAACATTTTGTAATTAATAATTAAACATTAGATTTAACTTTAAATGAAATATTCTATTTCTAATAGATGTCACTCAGAACAAAACTTATTCTTGAAAATTGAATAATTAACAGTTGTTCATTTCCATTTTGTTAATGAATATATCTTATCACAGAGGATGGTTCGGATTCAGAATCATTACAAAAGTGATTACACTAATGCCTTGAAATTTATTATTGAGTCTGAAAGAAATTCAAAAGCGAAAAAAAGAAGACAACACACATTAAATATCATGAGAAGATCAAGAGAAAAAAAACCATTCTAATGATAATGATTTCAATAAGTAGCATGTTGTAATCAATTGCCGATTGTTTATAAATAAAAATTTTACTTACTTCTATTGAAAACATAATCTAGAGATCTAAACAAGTCTATGAACGTTATTAATCTATCCAGTATGCATGCCTATTGCTATCCGTGTATATGTTTTTTTTTTCAACATAGTAATATTACAATGATTATTGAATCGAAATAGAAGATCATCTTGATAAGGAAGAAAGACAATCGTGTATATCGAAATGGCATAACTATGCGAAACATTTTTGTTAATTTAATATAGAATACATTAGACTAGAAATCTGTGAATATGAATTCAGATTCAAGTTTTTCTTAAATAAGATGTAACGTTAAACAAAAAAAAAGATTTCAAACTAGTAGTAACATTAAAATCTTCTGCCGTATGGTACAGTGATGGTTGTATATATTAAAATATGCAAAAAAGAGAAAAGAGGTGTATTATAAACTGACTATGAATCATCTGTATTCGGATTTTGAAGTCAATTATCGACCAGTTCTAAAGAGATTCACATTAACATTTGTTTTTCATTCCATCCGATTGATAGATTTATATAGTGCATTAACATTCTTGTATAAATGGCAAATTTTTTTTATTACCGTCGGTGGTAAATAGTAATATTTTCGTAATAAAGCAACCTTAGAAAATGTTCTAAAGGAAAAGTTGAATTTTACATTGTCAATGACTTAAAGTATAGTACTTCTTGATAACAAATGAAGCAGAAGAATTGTACTATAAACTGTCGAAAGATTTCCTCTATAGAAATTCTGTGAGCGTCATAGCAACTTTATACAGTGCAAAATGTGAGTTGGAAATAAGAAGTACTAACTATGTTTCATCTAAACAGCATATTTTTCCTCCCTATTCTTATCTTCCTGAGAGGTGAGGAGTCTTATCAAGATTGTTAAGTCTATCTGAGATTCAAAACATGTTGCCTTCTATGAAGATAACATATCATGTGATGACAATATATATATATGAATCAAAGAAAAATACGAGTTAATCAATGATTTTTGTATTTAATAGCTTTGGCTGGTCTGTGACAAGTTCGATGACCTATTCGGAACTATAATGTAGAAAGCTTTTTTTTTAACAACATTTTGTGTTTTGATTTCTTATCTACAATTTATCTAAGATGCCAAGATTTAGTTGATCTAATAAACATTGATGGTACATATTGAATTGAATGAGGAGGCTATCTCGTGTATGATCATTAAATTTTAATTTACTACATTGAAATAATCATAATTAAAAAATTTCAATTGTTTTTCCACATACAATCATAAAACACATATGGATTGCAAAAGGCTATACGGAATAAAAAACGTGAAATACAGAATAATTATTAGTACTAATAGCAAAGTATTTGAAAAAAAAACAACATAACTATTTGTCTTATCGATTGACAAGTTTCTCTTGTTATAATTCTCATTTGAGAAAGTTTTAATTTTGAACAGTTTAGTCATATTTTATAAAATTCAATGATCTTCTTGAAATAGATTTCTTTCGACCGAAAAAGTCGAAATGAATCTAAAATGTGTTCACCATTATTCTATATATACATATCTCTAGACCACTGCAGCATTGATGATCTTCATCACTGTTGCCATTCGAGAGACAATATGATTCACTTGAATAATCGCATTGTTTTCTTTTTTATTCGAAAAATAACTTGCAGTTATTCTATTTATAGAATAAAGACATTTTAAAAAAATATATAAGCATGATTAAAATATTTAGTTGATTATAATAATTATTTCAAAAAGAAAACCAATAAAAATTTATGATATTGGTCCAAATTTTTCTTTACCATTTTTTGTTGGATCCCATCCTGTATTTTGTGAATTTTTTTTACCATAATTTGTTAAATCTTTCATATCTTCATCGGATAAAATAAAATCAAAAACATTCATATTTTCTTGAAGTCGTTCAATTCCTGATGTTGTTTTTGGTATAGTAATAAAACCATTTTGTATTGACCAACGAATAAGAATTTGTGCTGATGTTTTATTATATTTTTGACTTAATTTTATTAAATATGAATCATTAAGAAAATGTCCTTTACCTAATGGTGAATAACCCATAATAGCAATATTATTTATTCGACAATAATCAACAATATCTTCATTTTGCCACCATGGATGTAATTCAATTTGATTAACAGCTGGTATAAAACCAGCTTGTTTTAACCATTTTAAATGTTGAACACCAAAATTTGATACACCAATTGAACGAATTTTACCTTCTTTTTGTAATTGAATCATTTCTTTATAAACTTCAAGTACATGACCACCTTGTGGTGCATGAATAAGATATAGATCAATATAATTAGTATTAAGTTGTTGAAGAGAATTATTAAATGATTTATGAAGACCTTGACGACCATCATTAGTACGAAAAAGTTTTGTTGTAATAAATATTTGTTCACGATTAATATTATTATTCTTTATAGCTTCACCTACTTGAGTTTCATTTCGATATAATTCAGCTGTATCAATTAATGGATAACCAAGACGAATTGCATCAATTATAATTTGAGTCGTTTTTGATGATGATGCTGCTTGATATAATCCTAAACCAAATATTGGCATTAAATGACCATCGTTTAATCTAATTCGAGATGCTATTGTAAATGACATGGATTTCTAAAAACAAACAAAAAATGATTTTATTAGAATTTAATTAAGACATGATTGATTCTATTTTTAATGAAAATTCGTTAAATTAATTATTTATTCATTACTAATATTCGCGCCAGAATCGGTAAGATCTGCGGTTTCTACTAATTGAAAGGGGAGAAGTCGAGATATATATGTTCTCTCAATAATGTATAAGACAAGATACATTGGAAATCATTTTCTTATTACATTCTAATGTTGAACAAATGGAATCATGTATTATAAGAAATTTCACTAACTTTTGACTAAGTTTTCGAACTTTTTTTAATGATATATAGGTTGAGATCTCGATGAAAATGTAATGAGATATAAGAAAACATATTGTATCTTGAACTATAGATCTGAAGTTCTTCTATCTAAATCCTTTGCATGTTTTTCGAAGATGATCAGTTCTAAAAAAGATTTTATCTTATACATTATCACGAGAAAATATATCCCGACTTCTCTCCTTTCAATTGGTGAAAACCGCAGATTGCTAGCTGTTACCGTTATCAAGTTATTGTACTTATACCAACTGATCTTTAATTGTGGCGCGGACATTAGAGATGTCCGGGATTAGTTTTAGTCTCAATCCAACTACGAGAGAAGTAATTGTTCGAACTGGAACTAAAATGATGTAGTTAAATTTTCTATGTTTTTTAGTGAATCGCTATAAATTACATCGGTCAATGCAAAATTCAAGACCTAGAGATGTGCATGATAAGCTTTTTTCATATCCCTGTATCCTGACTGATAAAAGTTTTTCTAACCCTTACCAATGGCGAATTTAGAGGCAAACACTAAGAATGATCATCCTTTTCCTTCCGAACTATTTTTCTCAGCAGAAAGCACCTAAAAAAATGAGTCGATGCGGTCTCTAATTGAATTTCCAAATACGTTTTATGACTCTGATCACTTTCCTTTCTGTTAAAATGTCCCTATTTATCAAAATTCTAAACCCACTACTGACCTTTCTCTTATTCTACGAAGTTTTTATTTCACTCTCCCTTAGTTGAAAGACTCGAAAAGTGATAAATAGAACCATAGTATCACGTTAGAGATGATCAAAAAATAGTGATATTTGCCAGTTGAATTATCCAAAATATGAGTATTTAAGATTTTTCTTTTAAATTGAATGCGAATAAGTTCTAAAATAATTTTCTCTACGCGGAGAATAGGACTAACAACAAATTTGATCTGTACATTTCTATTCATCACTCAATGGTATTCATCTGTTTTCGCAACATAGCTTCAAGAAATCAGTGAGACAATGGATTGTAAAGATCTAAAATATGATGATTTCGTCTTCTATAGAATTTATATCAAGAAATGTTTCATCTCTACAATAGATATTGTATCTTTTCGAATAAGCTTAAGCTTCGGTAGATGATCATTATTGAGAATAAGATCATCTTCTAAAGCATCGATTTCTAGAATATTGAATAATACTGTTCTTCCAAACAAAAAATTTCAATTAAAAAATAAAAAAAAAAAAAAACAATCAAACTATACATTTTGACTTAGTAAATTTATTTTTCTATTATTATTATTTACAATAATTAAAATGCAAAAATATTTCATATAAACTATTTTAATTATAAAATCAAAATAAAAAAAGAACATTGAATTCATTTAATCAACGCGGACAGACAGAATCGATTTATTTTGTTTGAGAAGATAACGATGCATCAGCCAATGATAAACCAAATTCATCTTGTTGATTTGATTTTTTCTATATATATATGAAAATAAAATAGTTCACAATTTTCTATTTCAATCAAATACATACAATCCATAGACCAAATCCACAATTTTCAAATGCTTGATTAACCTTTAAATAAATAGAAAACAACCATCTTTTACAATCAAAATAAATAAATTCTACCTTATTTTTAGCTGTTTGATAATCTACAGCTAATTGTTTAGCATCATAATAAATCGTTGGTATTCTTTCTGATTTAATTTTATTCATTAAATTTATCCATTGATGAAATAAAGCTAATTTTGATATCATTGATGGTTCACCTAAAATTTTTTTTCATGTGAATATATCAGAGATAAACTCAATTCCAAATCACAGCCTTTTTTGAGTTCAAATATTGAACTCATATGTGTTCTTTAGCCTACGGTAAGTAAAAAATCTCTAGCAGACTATAGCCATTTTTTGAAGGTTAATCAACGATTTGTATATATCTCGATAAGTTTAGAAATACTAATTTTGATTAGTTCACGTAGTTTATGTTAATCATATGATAAATCACTATTCATTATCTAAATTATAAATTTTCATCTAGGTAAAAATCAAAAACTTTACTATTTAGAAAATATCGAGAAAGAAGAACAATCTAAATCTTGTTGTTATGGAAATTACTATTATCTTTGAAAATATTCACAAAAACAAAAATGAAGTGAAATCTTACGTGATATTGTTAATCCACTTAAACTATCAATAATTTCACATTTTTGATCAATAGAATTCCATATAAATGCATGATTTGGTGATCGTGTCGTATTTCGTATTTCTGGTTTGGTGATATCTGAGATAAATGGTCGTTGTAAACCGTATGGTGTTGGAATATTATATACTTTCTATAAATATTTATATTATATAATCTAGATTTTCTCTTCTTTTTTTTTTTTTTATTTACATCTTCTATTCGAGAAAATAATGCTCGTCGAATAGGTTCACTTTGATATAGACTTCCTATGATAATACTAGTATAATAAATTGGATTAATTAATGTACTTAATAAAGCACCTGTTAATAGAAATAATGAAATATTAAAGATTAAGTTTTTCTTTTTTTTTTAACCTTGTAAACCAATAAAATTCCATCGACATAATTTATCTGAACAAGACATTGTTAAATGTCGTTCCCATGTTTGTACATTTTGATATATAGTTTTAGCTAAAATAGGTATTGTACCTTCACCTACTTCAATTTTTCTTCGTAATAATCCATAAGATTTTTTTAATGAAGATTTGAAATTTTGATTTATATTTAAAAATGATGATTTTTCTATTTTTATATCTTGTTGTGATATCAATCGACTATCACCACATGGAGCTATTGAAATATATAAATGAAAAGTAATTGATGATTTAAGTTGAAAATGATTTGTATTAGAAATTTTTTCAAATATTGTTTCATTATATTTTTCATTAAAAAATAATTTTAATTGTTTATAACAATAATAAATAAGACAACGACGTGCTAATATTTCAGCATGACAATCATGTAATATTTGTCCATTTCGTATTAAACGATTATTATTATTATTATTATTATTATTAATAGATTTTGTACCTGTTGTTATACAAATTATTTCCATTGTTTCAAGATTATAATTATGTAAAAGAACAATACCAGATAAAACTTTACGTCGTTGAAGACGTATATTATTTTGTGTTAATTGTTTAAATTTTTCTTGAATACATAATGCAATATGATCAGCAAGAGTTTGACGAGAATAAGGAAGATTATTTGGAAGACTATCTACAAACAAAAAAAATCTTATTTTCTATACAGGATGTCCCAAAAGTAACGTAATCGAAAAAAAAAAAACTTGAAAATCTTCATTATGGCTCGATCAAACGAGCTGATTTTTTTTTCGTCATATTCAAGCTTTATATCCATAAAGACATGCCTAGTGAGACCCTTTGTTAAGTATATTGTTTTATTTCCTATCTGTGAAAAAGGAAAATTTTTTTTGTTGAGATTACTGGTGATACTTAACAAAGGGTCTCCATAGACTTGTCTTTATGGATATAAAGCTTAAACATGTCTCTATCATTGACAAAAAACATCAGCTCGTTTGTTTGAGCTGTAATGGAGATATTCAATTTTTTTTTGTCGGTTACGTTACGTTTGGGACATTCTGTATAATATAGATAAATAACTATTTAACACATAATAAAAAAGAGCAACTATAGGATGTTCCAAAACTTTGTCGGAAGGAAAATATGAATAACTTTTGAATAATTCAAGTAATATCCGTAAGCTTTCTATAATTTTATTCTGTGTTTTAAAATTTTGTTTTGCATCCATTGTATTGAAATATATAATTCACTATTCGCAAATATTTGTAAAAGATATTGCATTACAGTCCCTTGGGCTCTATATTGTATAGAATTTTCTGTGGAATCATTTTGTTTTCGTTACTGATTTTTATTGTTATTGCAACGTGATCTTTAGTAGACTTTGTAAGTCATGTATTCTCATAGAGAAACCTTTGAATAATGCTAATGAGACAATCATCTGAACTTATACTCATCGTTTTAGCTCGTATTGGACTTAGAAAGACGTCTTAGTGAGGGTAGCAAAAGTCTAAAACAATTCATCTCTATGAGCTTTTACTGCATTTTTTCGACTCCGCTTTAGGTATATACCAAAAAAAACGAGATTTTTGATGTGAACTTATGCTAATAGTTAGGTCAAATGATTTCGTAGAATATGTTTAAAATCTCAGACAAAAAGAATATTCCTTTGTCGAGATATCGGATTTTCAAAAAATAGTCTTTTATCACAAGCCATGACATAAAACGAGCTTCAGTTAGCTTCAAAGATTGATATAAATTCGGGTGACTTTCTCGTAAGTGATACGATCTTTCATTATCAATATAAACTCCAGTGACTTTTTCTTATATCATTACTATAAAACCTTCAGAATGTGTCTAATCTTCTACAATATCACTCTTATCAAAGTATTGAGAGAATACTTTAATATCATCATTATTTGATGTTTTTTTTTTCCTTTATCAAATTCGATTTGTTAGCTTTCATTTCATGGCTGTAAATGACTCAAATTTGACCACAATTAGAACAATTTATATTCTAATATATATAAGTATCATCATTTTATCTAAAATATGCTAAATAAATTCAAAATAGATTTTTGTAACATTCTCTATGTACTAACAATTGCTATGAATTTTAAATCAATTATTTACTAATCAAATTTATTTCTTTTTCTCGTACATTTACTATATATAGAATTGATTCAATACTAACTTTGACTATTTATACTTAAGTATATATTGTTAATTCTAATTGATCGATTATTTGTTTTCTAGAGATTCAGTTTATAATAATAATACTTCATAGTTTTTTTCGAGTGAAAGAATTTTATGGTTTCATATAAGTGGAAATAAAAAGCTTCATTTTCTTAAGCAAATCCAATTCTTGTAATTCAAAAGAAGAAAGAAAAAACATAACAAACACATAGATGCCTATATATCTACATTATAGAATCAAAGTCACATATTCTATCAATGAATTAATATTAAAAAAAAAACAACCAAGATATTAAACAAGAATTAAATTGTTCTATTCAATTGAATAATACATTTATATATATATAATTACCTTCTTTATGAAAACACATACCAAATAATTTTTCTAAAGCACGTTGTGCTGCTTTTGTTTTAGCTATATTTTTATTTTGTCCTATACCAATAAAACGTTGATCATCAATAATAATAGTAAATTTAAATTCATTTTGTTCAGTTATTATTTCATTTGTAATTTCTTCACATTGTAAATTTTGTTTAAGTTGTTTAAGAATATAAAATGGATTTTGATTTTCATATGATTCAGAAATATTTGATTGATTATTATTATTATTATTTTCAATAGATTTATTTGATAGATTATTATTTATATTTGTTAAATTATCAAATAATGAAAAAGGTAATTGAGAAAATGATTGAAGTGCTTTTTCAGCAGCTAATAAAAAGAAACAAAATAATTATTAAATTTAAATTAATATTATTTACCTGCTTGTTTAGCTTCTTTCTTTGTTTGAGCTGTACCTTTAAATACTTGTCCATTAATTTCAACAGCCATAGTAAACATAGGTCGATGAGATGGACCTGTTTGTGCAATAAGTTTATATTCAATTGAAGGTTTAAGTTCATGTAATAACATAAGTGCATTTTTTGATAATGTTGATGAACTATTATTAATTGTTGGTGTTAATTTAGTACGTTTTCTATCTTGTATATCATGAAAATCATCACGTATACGTTTAAATCTATGAGGTAATATTTGTCGATGAACATTATATTCAACTAAAGATATAAAACTCTGTCATGATTTATCATAATTTATTTATTTTTGATTTGATAATATACTATAAAATAATTCAATATGACAATAAATAAAGGAACTCGTACTGGTGGTGCTTGTCAATATTCATTATCACATGACTTTTGAAAGGTTATTATTTTTTAAGTACTTAGTTTTTTCTCTCATAAAGAAAACTTACACTTTGTATTTGTGTATAAATTAAATGGATTATTTAAAAATGTTGTATTATATAAAGGAATTATAGATGAAGGTGAAAAATCTGTTGATATAGGTCCTAATAAAGTTGTTGTTGGTGATGATGATGATGATAAAGGCATGTATACAACATGACCAAATGGAAACATATGCATTTGATTAATAGTATGATTGAAAATGTAGTATTGGATTAAGTAGATCAACAAAAATTGATTTTATTACTCTAATAGTCTCTTACTTCTAGTGAATGTCAAAAGATGGAGAAAGAGTTTTTTTTTGTGTCTCTTATGCTCTCTCTCTCTCTCTCTCTCGTTTTCTATCTGACAAACGATTTACTATAGATCTGCATGTTTATAGTTTTTCTTTCTTTTTTTTTCTTTTTGCTCTTTCTCTTGTGTGAGAAGAGAAAAAGGAATGAGGAGAAATAGAGAAAAAAAAATAAAGATAATATTGATACATTTCTTTTCCTTTAAAAGTCTAGTTAATTTCTGTTTTTTTTTTTTTTTTTGATATTTTGTAATATATCAATTGTGCATGTCTCTATCAAGTTTATTAGTATATGATTAATAATCATTTTTCATGTAAAAAATTTTTTTTTCTTTGCATAATCAGCAAAACGAATCATACACAGAAATTAATAATGAGACACGAGCACGTCTGAAATATATATATATATATCATTCTTATGGGCAATAATATATTGAAATTAATACTAGTTTGTTTTCTTTTTTCTTATGCCTACTGAGTATTTGATCTTTTCCTTAATCTTATACTGATCATCATTAAATAAATGATGCTCGTCGTCTGTATATAATCAGTTAAGTTTTTTTTTTGTTTTTATCTACGGCAGGCGATATCTTCTATACATGCAATTTTCAAATGCCAATTAATGATAGAAATTAATAGAAGTATTTTCATTTCTTGATTGTTTGTTTTTCAATTATCGAATTTCTGTGTATTTAGATAAATACAATACCCTCAAAAAAAAAAAAAATAGAAGTTTGATCAATAATAAATGACTTGTTGATCTAAGTTTTATTATTTACTTTGTTAAACAATAAGATAATTGTCTTTTTCTTTTACTTGCCAAGAAAAATTCTCTTGTATAGTTAAAGTACATAAAATAAATGAATAAGAAAGAATAATAAATTAATGATCAAATGAATAAATTATTTTATTTATAATAAACATCATTATATTTATTAATAAAAAAAAAATAAAGTATTTATTTACCTTGATCATTTTTTACATTATCAATTGATATTAAATATTTCTATAGATAAATCGGAAAAAAAAGAATACTTGAATATCAATTTATTTATCGAACTTTTTGTTATGAATAACACTATAATATATTTATCTATAATAGACTTCAATTAATATTTTCTTCCGTATTATTAATTATATCATCAACTATTATTGATTTGACTTATTGACAATCAAGACTATCTCGACAATAATAGTCAATTCATACGACATTTCTTAGCTGTGTTCTAAATCTCTTCCAAAAAACAAAAAAAAAAAAAAAAAGAAAAGAACACATAACAATTGAACATTAGATACTTGTGAAGACATATTATGTATTCATTAACTGACAATTCTTTTAATCTTCTTATCGGGATAAGAGAGACAGAGAGAACTTGATGTGAAGAGTTTTAAAATTATTTTCATTCAAGTTTTAAATGTAATTATACAATAAAAGCTGTTAGCACAATCCCTAATGGGATTGGAATGTGAAACACCATATAGCTGCTGTTACTAATTTCAGGAGATTGTTTTGATTCTATATATATATATATATATATATATATATTTTAAAGCACATCTCCGTACGATCTTTGTTATTGAGTCCTTCAGAAATGCAATAAGGAAGTAGTTCAAATATTAGAATGGATGTTTTTTTGATATATAGTCTATGGGAGGAATGACTTCAAATTTCTAGTCTATACACTTCAATACTTCTTTTAGATAGTGTTTCACAATATAAAAAGCATTTGAAGAACGACTTAGCTTTTCAATGGAGTCGTTTAATTGTTTGCATTTATTTCTAAAACATATAACTAACGTGAGAAAATATCGAACTTTTGGACGCTGTGTAATTTAATCTTATGGCTATGATTAGGTCTCTGTGAAACTGAGAATAACCTAAAAGGATTCATCCTTATGATCATCTTAATGAAATTTTGTTTATCAATAGATTCAATAGTCATTGCATAGTTCTGACAGTTTCAATGGAAATGACCATGTTTTCCTTGAGATATGTAATTTCTAAAACCAAAAGTATTTACTGTAGCAGAATAACTAATCCATTCTGCTGGGAAATTAAATATATCGAGAAAAATATGTCTGTTATCTTTGACACTTACAGAACTATCTTATAACTATTAAATAATATTCGTATATCGAATGTTTCATTGTTGGGTATAGTAACATTAAAGTTAATGTTCAATCTTCTGATATTATATAATGTCAGAAGATGTGACACTAATTTTATTGTTTCTCCATGTTTTCTGTGGAGTACTTACTAAACAAATATCTTATATTAAATCTATTTATAGGCAAAATTTCAAGTTAAGAACCTTCATTTTGTGTTTTTTGAAAACGTCTTGACCTTAGGAAAAATTTCATGAAAATGGACATAACTCTGCAATAGTAGACTATGAATACATATTCTTTTAGATTATTCTTAATCTCACAGGAACCTACTTATATCCATAAGACAAAATCGAACGACATTCAATAGTTGGTTATGTCCCTTCGTAAGATATTTAATATTGTTATTAATTTTACGTAAAATTTCAAATAAATTAAGCATCTAATGATGGATTTCGTTCAATCTTGAATTGAACGAAGATATTTTATAAATGGTAATATTTATTTTTTGTACAATGAAAAATTTTAGATCGGCTATTTACAATTCTCTTTTCAAATGAATTTTAACTCATTAGATAGAACCAATTGAGATTCAAGAAAATCTAAAATGATTCCTGCTCGTGAGTTTTAACTCTTGAGTTATGAATTTTACAAAGTAAAATATTGTGGTTTCATTTTAGATCATCTTTAAAAGCTTCTTTTTTTTTGCGTTCAAACTATTGATAAATAAAGTTCTTAGTGGAATTAGTTGATCATGCAAGTATCAAATTTTTTAGCATCGCCTGTCGTCAAATACCAAAATTAAAAATTCTGTTATGCAAATTTAGTTTTATATCTCACGATAGGAGATACTATGAAATCTGATATTTTCATCATGAATTAGTTCGATTACCAACTTTATTTATCAAAAGTTTGAATAAACAAGCTGATTTTAAAGGAAATATAATATAGAATCACAGTAGACATTTTTCCACAGCGTCCTTGACTTCATGCAGTGCTATGTGTATAAATCACACCAACCAGTACACGACGATATGATTAAAGTAAAGATGTATCGATTCAATTCATTCAAATGAAATTGATTAAATATACAGAAAAGATCTCAAATTTATTCCTGAAAAATTTGCTGTCATAGTAGAAGTTTACAAGAAAATTTGATTGGTCAAAATTACTACACCAATTAATTTTCAATTTGATTGTAGCGCCTTTATCAATTTTTTTAAAGCAAAAAAAAAATTTTTTTAAATAAAATCATATTATCTATTCTATTTTAATTATATATTTGTCTTATTGATACCAAAAAAATAATTATTGTCAATTTAATATGAGTCATATAAACAAAGAATAAACATGACTCATTTTATATCTTATTTTTACTTATTACTCATTTAATGTTATCATTCGTAATACATATAGGTTAAACTCTACGAGTCTTAAATTCTATTTAAACATTTTGTTTAATACAAGTATTTCGCTTGAGATTAATGGTTGGATAGATCTGAAAACATTATTCAGGTAATGATACTTTTTAATATTCATAGCATTTGGAAATATCTCCTATGCAATTGAATATTACATTATATCTATAAGAATTCTTATAGTTGACCTCATTGATGCATTATTTCGATTTAGAAGATAAGTCACGTCTTATACAGATCGAAAGAAATCTTGAACTTATGTTAAAACCAGACTTGAGCAATTCTTATAGCTCTTTTTCTTATTCGATAAATCTAGAGAACTATCGAATGAAGTAGTTAAACTAGTGGCGTAACCAAAAATAATTGCGGGAGAAATTCAATCTTTGACCATGTCTGCTGAAAGAATGGAAATTGACTGGTAGTACTTCTAGAAGAGACTGACCTCTCCCTACGAATTCCGTCACTAAGACAAATAGAAGCGTATCATAACTAATCAATTTTATTTGTTCATCTAAAATATTTTATCAATTTTTGTTTGTAAATAGAAAGAAAATACAAAATAAATGAAATGATTTTGTTTCCGAGTACATGTGAAGTTTTCTTGATAATATTTTTACATGATTATGATAGATGTTAATTACAAAAGATATCCTAGAATAGGACGAACCTTGTCTCTCTATGTATATTTCAATAGTAGGTATTCATTTTCATCTAGTGCAATTTTGAAATATACTTCACTTGAGTTAAGAACTTTTTTTAGAAAGAATGTGTCGAAATTTAAGAATGACCTTTGATTATAAAAGCTGTTAATACAATTCCTGTAGGATTAAAATGCGAAACACAGTGTAGTTGCTCTTGGTAATCACAAAAATACTTAGTCCGTGATACTTCTCATTACCATTCTTTTACTTAATTCTTTAGCATAGCAATAAGAAAGTCTTTCATACATTATTGACATACGATCAGTGATCGTATATCAATTTTTGTTATGTTCTATGAAGGAGAGGTTCAAATTTTTACTCTCATACGTCAACATTCTTTTTGAATAGTGCTTCACAACATGTCTCTGTAATACATACTTTCTAATATAACTTAAAATATTTTTGTTTATTTTTCTTTTTTTATTTTAGATTTTATTTGTATTGAAAATAAAAAAAAGAAACAATGTCCAATAGTAAATGGATAGCAGATTTAAAAACTGTATTTCAAGTTGCTAAAGCACGTCTTGATGTACGTGAAAAGAAAAAAACTGAACAAGTAGCAAAAGAACGTTATACAGTTGCTGATTATGTTCGTAATAATAAAGTTCCTCGTGCTCGAATTGGTAAAAAAAATCTTTTTTTTTCTTCTTTTTTCATTAAAAC